CCCCCGCCCGGCGGCCCAGCGGTCACTCAGCGGCCGCCGCCCGTGCTGCTGGGCACTCCGGCCCAGGCTCCGGCCCTGCGATTCCCGTGGCTCTTGGCTTCCGCTGCACTCTGCTCCGGGGCCACTGACCAGCTCTGCTTTCTCTCCCCACCCGTCTGTCCCGCTCTGTCTCCGGCGCCGTCACCGTCCCTGTCCGCCTCCGCCTGCCTCTCCTTCTCTCCTTTCTTGGTCTCTCGCTCTGTTCCGTGCTCCATTCTCTCTCTGTCTCCTTCGCTTCGGGAAACCAGCCAAGCGCAAAATGTGGAAACTAAAATCCTTTGGTAGTTTAAGAAATATTTATAAAGCAGGTAACAAGCGGGGGGCCGGGAGGGGCGCTCAGCTGGGGTGCAGAGCGATGGGGCGCCCGCCTTCCCTGCATGCGCTGGGGCTTCCTGCTCTCCCCGCCCTGCTTCCCCGACCCCTCGGCCGCACTCCCGGGCCGGGCCGACAGCGGGGAGGAGGGGACCGGGACCGTGGCTCCCGTTTGGACGCCGGCCCTCATGAGCCCCCACCCCCTCCAGAGGAAAACTTCGAGTTCCTGATCGTGTCCAGCACTGGTCAGACGTGGCACTTTGAGGCGGCCAGTTTTGAGGAGCGCGATGCCTGGGTCCAGGCCATCGAGAGTCAGATCCTAGCTAGTCTGCAGTGCTGTGAGAGCAGCAAGGTCAAGGTGACGACGCATCGGGGGAGGGGGGCTGCGGAGTCCGCGGGTGGCGGGAGGGCTCAGAGGGAGGGTCAGCACTGACCCCAAGCCTTTCTGCAGCTGCGCACAGACAGCCAGAGCGAAGCGGTGGCGATCCAGGCCATCCGGAACGCCCAGGGGAACGCCACCTGCGTGGACTGCGGGGCTCCGAGTGAGCGCTAGGGGGCAGCAGAGGCCGGGCGGGTGCGCTTCTCGGGCCCGCCGGGTGCCCGCCTGCGCCGGGCGCCGGCAGCGGGCAGCCAGCTCTGCCCTCTGTCCCCAGACCCCACGTGGGCCAGCTTGAACCTGGGCGCGCTCATCTGCATCGAGTGTTCGGGCATCCACCGCAACCTCGGCACGCACTTGTCCCGCGTCAGATCGCTCGACCTGGACGACTGGCCGAGGGAGCTGACCCTGGTGCTGACGGCCATCGGCAACGACATGGCCAACCGCGTGTGGGAGAGTGACACGCGAGGCCGCGCCAAGCCCACGCGGGACTCCTCGCGGTGCGTGTGCGGGGGCGGCGGAAGCCCGGGGGGAGGGGCGGGGCCGGCCGGGGGCCCCGGGAACCAGGCGCGCTGCTCCCTGGCCCCGCAGGGAGGAGCGCGAGTCGTGGATTCGCGCCAAGTACGAGCAGCTGCTGTTCCTGGCACCGCTGGGCACGCCCGAGGAGCCGCTGGGCCCGCAGCTGTGGTCCGCGGTGCAGGCCCAGGACGTGGCCGCCGTCCTGCTCCTGCTGGCTCACGCGCGCCACGGGCCCCTGGACACCAGCGCAGAGGACCCGCAGCTCCGCTCCCCGCTTCACCTGGCCGCCGAGCTCGCGCACGTGGTCATCACGCAGCTGCTGC